TGCGCAAGGTATGACATACTTGATCTGGCTGGTCAGGGGGGCGAACGTTCCATACTCGTGCCCACTCTTTCTGGTACTTGTTGAGCAAGGCCACTGGGCAAGCCGAGCGGTCCTGGATGCGCTCCACGGTGCCGTCGACCACCTCGGTTGCCCCTTCCCCTGGGTCCTTCGTCCACCTGTGGAGCATGGGCGCCCCGCGCAGGTGGTCCTCGGCCAGCACTTCGCGCCGGCCCTTGACCTGTCGGCCATGCGCCATTCCGCTGAGCACATCTTTGCCCGCGCGCTCCGCCATCTTCGCGATGAGCTCGATCTCGCCTAGGACCGAGTGGGTGGCGCGCGCTGTGGGCCTGGGCGGCGGCGTTGAAGCACTAACCTCGCTCCGACTGCCCTTCACCTGATGGAGCACACTCGGGGCTGTGGCGCCCCCAGCCTGCCTGCAAGGGCTAGCTGGTTCTTCCGCGCCCCCAATTGCAATCAATAGTTGTTTGTGCTCCTGCGCGGCGTGCTGCCGCATGTCCAGCTCGCCATCTAGCTCTGTGAACGGGTCCGCCTCGGGGTCGTTCAGGCCTCTGGTTCTCGGCTGGCCCAGAGGCTGCGCAGGGTCGGCACCTTGAGGAAGGCGCTCTGGACCTCTAGGTGCTCCCTGGCATTCAGCATTCACGTACTCGTTGCTGTTGGAGTTGCCGAAGTCGCCCTTCATGTGGCCTGGGTGGTGTGACGACGAGGGGCTGAATCCCTCCCCGTCCAGGCCGAGACGACCCTGGTCGTCGTAGCACTCGCCGGGTGGGCGCTTGCCTGGGCGCGGCTGCTGCACCCGTCGAACGACGGTCTCGGGGTTCACCGCGGCCCCGCTGATCACATCGCTGACTCGGCCCAGCCCGATCTGCACGAGTTGGCACCAGTCGTCGCAGTCGCCACATGCGCGGTACGCGTCGCCAAACTTGCCTGAGCGCTGCATCCCTTGACGGCAGCGCGCGATGGCACCTCGGAGGCGTTGAGCTGGGCGCCCCCGCTGGTCAGCACCACCTGGGCGGGCCTGATGACCAAGATAGCTGCTCAAAAGGCCTCGGACTTGGCGTAGCTGCCCAGAGAGCCACGCGAGCGCACGACCTGGTGCGGTTTTGCCATTGGCCTTGGTGGTTCAGATCTCGGGAAGCGTCACCTCTTTGAACTGGATGGGCCCCCCCCCAGAGCTGCGCGGGCTTGGCGTCGCGGCCCACGATGCCCTGGAAGTCCTGGCGCGCCGTGCCGAGCCACGCCTCGTGGGCCCTGTCTACCTGCGCCTGGCGGTCGGCAGGCGTCAAGTCCAGCTGGCCGTCGTGCCCAACGAGCTGCTGGTAGGTCTCGTCGAGCACGCGCTGCGCCGCCGTCCAGTCGGGCGGCCCCCTACGGGGCCCCACGGGCACCGTGGTGGGCATGTGCGCGGTGCTGAATAGCATCTTCACCTTGGGCCACTCTGTGCGCTTGCTGACAAACATGTGGACCACGTCGTGGGTGGGCAGCGCGAGGTAGGCGTTGGTGACGGGCGCCTGCATGGCCAGTCCGGCGCGGCCTCCCGTCACGATGTAGCCCCTGATGTAGCGCGTCCCGCCGCTGCCGTGGCACGTCGGGTTTGACGGCGCGCGCAGCTGGATGCCCGGCGCACGGAAGCCTGCAAAACTGACGAGCTCTTCGGGATCCATATTCATATCGCCCCCCATGACCCAGGGCAGGCCGTGGCGAGCCCGGTGCTCGCGCAGCTTGTAGAGGATGTCGAGGTTCTGGCCCTTGAGCCCGACATTGACCTCGAGGTAGACCGAGTGCAGCGCTACCACGCCCATCCCTGGCAGTCGAGCGTGCCCAACACACGCTGTGCCTGGCCACTGGACCTGGTCCTGCGGGTCGTACCAGAAGTCGATGAATCTCTTTGCCAGCACGGCCACACCGCCCTGGTAGTCCTTCACCTTGACGGTGGCTGGAGTACATGCCATGGCCCAGCCTTCGTTCCTCAGCGTGCGCCTGATCTCCAAGAGTCGCCCCTGTGACTGCTTGTGCTCCTGCACGAAGAGGATGCTGTCGGACACGAGCGGCAGGATACTGCGCCCTGTGCCCCACGATGTGATATTAGCCGTCGCAAGACTGAGGTGAACATGTCGCTTCTCGCCCCCGCACGAGCCGCTGTCCGTCCCCTCGTCGACGCTGCTGCTGCTCTTGCATGTGCTGCTAAACCCGCTGCCGCTTGCGCATTCCCATGCGCTGGCACAGGTCCTCAAGAGCCCTCTTGCTGTCCTCGGATTTGCACGCTTTGCAGATCTCTTCGGAGCCTGTGTCGCCAAGGTCCTCGTCCATCGGCGTCGGGATGTTCTCCCCGCTGTCACCCTTCTGACCGTCTGAAGCTTCCCCTGGGAGGCGGCGGTCCACATGAGGTGCTTGGTGAGGGGCTTGGCGACCATGGCCAGTACATCAGGTCCCAGATTCTTAGCTTCAGGTGCCATGGCCAAGAAGCGCTCAGCGTCACGTTGGGTCTCGGGTGGTGGGCCTGGCTGGCCCAGCGGCATGGCCCGCAGCATGGCCTGGTTGAGGCTGTTCTCCAGCTCGGTGATGTTCGCGGTGGCCTGTGCAATCGCCGCCTCCTGGTCGGCGACCGCCTTCTTCGCCTCCTCGACGAACTTCTCTGCCTCAACGACGTCCTGCTGCTTCTCGGTGAGCTCCTTCTGCAGCTGCACCCGCTTGGCCTTGGCGTGGTCAAGCTTGGCGCCCAGCGAGCTGACCTCCGCCTGCGGCCCTCGGGCTGCCACTCGCTGCTGCTTGAGATTCGCCAGGTCCTGCTCGAGCTGCCCCAAGTCGATGCCTCCTTTGCGCAGCATCGGGATGGTCTGCTCCAGGCTGGCGATCTTGCCCTCGAGCTCCTGGATGGCAGGGTCCACGGGCGGCTCTGGGGCTGGGAGGGCAGCAGCGCCGGTGTCTGGGGTGCATCGTCCGCCGCGTGGGCCAACGTTGCCGCTGTTGCCTCCTGCCGTGAGCCTCTCCAGCGCTGCGGTGATGTTGGCCACGCCTGCCTCGAGGCGCTGGAGCCGAGGTGCGCCCCCTCCGCCACCTTGCCGAACAGATGGCTGGCGGGGCTGCGACTTGGCCCTGGACCCAGCTCCGCGCTTGAGCGGCGCCTCCTGGTGGGCGTGCCTGGCCTTGCGCACCACGGGGCCAAGGGCCTCACGTCCGCAGAAGCACACCACTCTGTTGGCCCAGAGCCCCTCCTGGCGGCATCCTGGGCAGCGCCATGGGGGCTCCTTGGGCCCCAGGAGCACCTTGCGCCCAGCAGCGTCAGCGGCAGCAGCAGCCGCAGGAGGCGGCGGCATGGCCACGGGCAGCGCCTCGCTGTGCTCGCCGTGGTGCCCAGCCAGCGCCTGGCGCGCGGCGGCAAGGCGCAGGGTGGCCCGCGCGCTGGCCCGCCTCCTCCGCAGCCTGCGGTGCCACGCGGGCGAGGGCGAGCGGCTATCGCGCCGCCCGAGCGTCGGGAAAGAGTGCACCGCCACCCTTGGCAGGGCAGGCGCCGTCTGGGGTTTCGCGGGAGACGGGCCGATCCCCAAAGGCCCGCACTCGCTGAAACGCCTGAGGAGGAGGAGGAGGAGGAGGAGGAGAAGGAGGAGGACGGGGAGAAGGAGGAGGAGGACGACGAGGAGGACGAGGAGGAGAGGGGAGGAGGAGGAGGAGGAGGAGGAGGAGGAGGAGGAAGAGGAGGAGGCGAGAAGCGAGAGGCGAGGCACCTGCCCACCCATGGAAAGGGGGGGGGGGAAGGCGGCCCCGGCAAGAGAGCGGAGGGGGCGCGAGAGAGAGAGCGCTGGAGCGCCAGGGGAGGCTCGCGCGCGGTGGTTGCCAGAGTCGGGGGCGCGCAAACATGGATCGGGGGAGGGGCCCTACCCAAAATGCGGCCGGTGCCGCCTCGTTCGGCGGCGGAAATGCGCGATTTCCCATGGAAACGGGACCCACCCGTCGCTAATCCACGGCCCCTTAATCCATGTTCGCGATCGCCTGACAGAGGGGGCGAGGCAGCGCACCTGCTTCGGAAGCTCGTTGGCTTCCCTGCAACTTGTAAGTTCCAGGCTCCTTCGGGCAACCGCAAGTGGCTCCCTACCCCTACCAGATTCCGGCAAGAGCGGGGGGGAGAGAGCGCCTGAGAGCGTTGGGGGGCTCGCGCGAGGCGGTTGCCAGAGGGGACGAGGCAGCGCATATGTTTCGGAAGATCCTTTGCTTCCCTGCAATTTTGGGCGGCGAGCGAGGGGGGGGGAATTGAGAAGGAGAAGGCCTTCTCAGAAGGTTCGGAAGTCCCCCAGGCCTTCTGGGAAGTTTTCTAAGCCTTCCCCGAAGACAACCAAAAGCTTCTCAGAAGGCGCAAGGGCTTCTGAGAAGTCCCGCCGCCTTCTGAGAAGGCCCCACCACTGATGGGCAACAGAATTGTCCAAGCATGCTATGCAAGTCTGTCGCAATTCTGGCTGCTGGAACTCTTCACATCAGGGCCTTCTTTTCCGGCGGAAGCCTGAAAAGCAGCAGTGCGCAAGTATACTGTCTGGCGCACGCTCGTGGCATTGATGTGCCTGCGGACACGCGGCTTCAATCATTCATTCGTGTAAGTTCCAGGCTCATTCAGGCAACCACATGTGACTCCCTACCCCCTGCTGGTCGGATTTCTGAAGAACTGGCTGGGATTCAGAATTAAAAGGATGTCTGCTGCCAAGCAAATCCCAGCGGGGCTGTCCGATACCCCCGCGTCGATGCAAGGTTCGCAGTTGGTCACACAGAGCTCCCACCCCTACAGGAAGAAAGCACTGCATAAGCATAAACTTTTGGCGCTCCGCGCGGATTTCTTGGATCGGCGCTGGGCTCCCCTGGCGGCGCCTCGAGGTCCGGCCCTGGCCACGCTCCGCGCGCCAGGGAGGGAGGCCCAGCGCCGATCCAAGAAGTCCGCGCGAACCTACGAAAGTTTAGTCCACGTTGATTCGGTGTTTTCCCTCGAGGCCCAGAACCTTGAAGACCCTCGTCAGCTCCTCGACCTCCTGCGCGTGGGACCTCGGGAGGCGGCATCCGAACCCTGCCCCCACCAACCATGGATTCTCCTGGGCGGGGGGTACCCATCCACCACCAACCAACCACCCGCTTACCCCACGAACATACCTCCCACCACCCACCCCGGCAAGGGCAGGGTTCGGACTTCGCCACGTGCGCGACGAATCCCGAACCCCGCCCCCGCCGCCCATCGAGCTGCCTGAATCGTTGAAAGGCAAGGGTACTCCGGATTCCACAATACAGGAGGTGGGGTGTGATTTGGGGGGGTCTGACTGGAGCTGCTTTGGAGGGTTCCAGGGGGGGGGGTCCAGGCAAAAGGCCGCCCTTTCGTGGCTGATCTGGGGGTTCTAAGATAGCTCGTCTTGGAGCGTTATGACCACCTTCCTTCATTTACGAAATCGTCAAGTGGCGAGGGCAGATTGTGTTGCATTCTCGGGGGACCTTGTCTGTCTCGTCGCGGCCCTGTCAGCGTCGAATCCGTGTCGAATCTGTGCCGGACTCGTCGGATCCGTGTCACATCCGTGCCGACACCGCGTCGAATCCACGCCAAATCCGCGTCGAGTCCGCATCGAGCCCGCGTCGGGCACACATAGAAGAAGAAGAAACGACATAAACTTGAACTTGTGGCGTGTTACGTCTTCTTCGTCTTCTTCTTCTTCGTCTTCTTCTTCTCCTCCTTCTTCTCCTTCGAACAACAACAGCCGCCAATTGTGGGGACGGGCGAGGGATCCGCCGAAGATGCGACGCAAGCCAGGGTTCGGACACCGCCGCCGAGACCTGCGCCTCTCCTCGAGCCTCGCGCGCAGGCCCGCGCCCCGCTGCGAGGCCTGCGCGGCGCGCCGCCGCGCCTCGTCGATCTCGGCGCGCTGCGCGGCCACCTGCCGGGGGGGGAGAGGGGGGCCTTGCGGACAAGGCAGCGCCAGCGGTGCTGCTTCGCGGCAGCGCCCGTGGCCGGCCGGCGACAGGAGGAGGTCCCTCGAGAGCACGAGGCCCTCCGCTGGCCAAACCGAGGAGCAGTCGAGGGTACCCCATCCCCAGGATGCACAGGAGCATCCAGCAGGCGCGAAGAACATCAGGGTACCCTCCCCGAGCCGACCTCGATCTTCTACCTCGGACCGGCCGTAGGCCCGTTGACAACCGTGACGACATCTTTACGACCAGATAGGGTACCTTCCAACCTGCACGAGCTTCATAGTACGACGCTTTCCATTCAGAAGGCATAAGTCACAACCAGAGGGCCCACTGAAGCCCACCTCCTTAGAGAACGGAACAACTACCCTTATATCAAGCACCTCGACACGCGAAGCCATTCAGTAAGCGCACCCAAGGGAGGAATCGAACATGACAGGGCTGCGTAGGAATCTCCCAGGGCCCTAATTACAAAGAACGCCGATAAATGGGGGTCGGAGTGGTTTTTCCTCCCATGACTCCCCACATCCGCCACGTCACGTTTCGCGCTGGCGCCGTGGGAATTGGCCATCCCTAAGCATTCCCAGATGCCGCCGCCGCGAATCGTGACGTGACTGGCCTCATCCCCCCCTTCTCACCCTCAGTCACGCCCGTCATCGCCAAGGAATAGAAAACGGTCTCGTAGAGGCCTCCTACACTGCCCTCAACAAGTAGTGCAACCTTACTTGTCTATTTGTTAGTTCTCATCGCCTTCGGTTCTCCATTGTTCTCCATTTCCCATTTCTGACGGCCCCAGGACCGTCAGAAATGGGCCCAGGATGAGAAACTACCCCCAGGGAAGTCCCCCGGACGAGTCTTCAGCACGGCTCCAAGAGGATGTCCGAGTAGAGTCCTCCCCAAAAGGAGTCGGAGTAGAGGGGGTCAGGGGGTCGCGCCGCATCGCCGATTCATCGGGGATGCATCGGCGACGTCGGCGAGGCATCGGAGAGGCATGGGCGATGTATCGGCGTGGAGATAGTCGAGCTCCACATCGAGCCGCATCGCCGATGCATCGGCGATGCGGCGCGAGAGACCTAGACAAAGGCACCCCCAGCTTGTCGCACCTTTTTGGGACCCCCTGGGGCCCTCTGGGCCTCGTGAGGGGTGCTCTGGAGGCAGACCCCCTCGCGTCAGGAAAAAAACGATGGACGAGTTGTCTTCGTTTTCGGCAGCTGGGGGCCCTCGCCGGGACCCTGGACAACAAATCAGGATCAAAAGTCGTTCCCGGGGAATGGGTCGAGACCTCCTGGGCACCACGTTGTGACAAATCACGACGCCGGTGGTCTGGGTCGTGACGGGTACTCTGGAAGTCGTGGGGGCGCCCCCGGGAACTCCTGGGGGGAACCCTGGGCCGAAGGCACTACTGGCAACACCCAGACGGGACGAAAGGAGAGGGACCGGCGCAAGGGGGGGGGGACCTGGAATCGGCGATGCAGCGCCGATAGCGACGGGCGCCCGATAGCGAAGCCGCACGCTCCTGGGCGGGATGGTGGGACCAGGCCTAAGCTTAAGCCGGGCGTGTCCCTCTACAGGAGGACGATTCCAAAATAGTCCAAAAAATAGTCTGGGGACGATTTGTTTGTCTCTCTTTTGCCATTTGGGAATACTTGTGGGATCTATTTTTCACCTTACGCCCGAAATCCGCCTGGAGGGGGACATGCCCGACCTAAGCCCAAGCCCCTATCGGCGATGGGTGGGCGACTGGAGGTCGACGCTTCCAGCCCCTTGTGCCAGCGCCGCCCTCCCCGTCGCTGCCCCTGGATGACGGAGGCCCCGGGGGGACGGGCCCTGGCCCCCAGGACCCTCCCCAAGGACCACAGCCCTTCTGCAGGGGCCCAGGGACACACACATTAACAGCCATAAATCCCAAGACTCCCCAGATGTTTCTGCATCTTATGGGCCTTCGTCTCCCCCCCCCTCCCATATCTTCCCATCTCTTCCTGGGGACCGCCGATTACTCGTGCCTCTGTGTGTGTTCTTCCCCTCCCGACCACCGTCCCGAGCCGCTACCTGCAGGCCCCCGAAGCCCGCCGGAGGCCCCTGGACCCGCCGGCGCTCGGACGCCCATCCCCCCCGGTGCACTCTCCGACGTGGCGCGTGCATCGGGGGCGCGCAAAGCAGGGGTCAGCGATCCCCGGATTCGGCGCGCGGTCGCCGAATCCATGGATCGGGGGAGGTGCCCTCCCCACAGTGCGGCCGGGGCCGCCTCGTGCGGCGGCGGAGATCCGCGATGACCTGTGGAAGCGGGACCCGTCGCCAATCCACGCCCCCTTGATCCACGCTTGCGATCGCCTGAGTGCAGCGTTCGCAAGATGATCCAGGCTGTTCCTCGATGGCCCTCGGCCTCGCCCACCCCCAACAAAAAACGCACACGTCGGAGCGAGGCCAGGTGGAGGCCCGAACACGGCGAGGAGCTTCGGGGCCCCATGTCTCCTGCCTCGTGCCGACCCCCGGCTGGCTCCAGGGGGGAAGCTCGCCGCCGCTGGGACGTCCGTTCCCCCTGCAGTGTTCGACCTCGATGGCGCTTCTTTTCGTCGCACGAGGATCCGACATGCACGTCCGAGCGATGCCACGGAAGAGGCATGGACCTGGGATCGGCGGCCTCGCTGGCAGACCGGCGACAGCCCCCCAGCAGCGAAGCCGCGCGCTCCCAGGGCGCAGTCGGGGGGGGGACCAGGCCCCGATCGGCGATGCTTTGGCGGTTGGGATCTTGGGCCATGATCCCCACCCGGCCACCCGCCAAGGTGACTTCTGAACCATCCGCGGCCCCAGTCGGGGATCTTCTGGCCTGGGTCACTCCAGACCCGGGTCAGTCAGGCCTGACAGAATCCCGCAAGATCTTGCAAGATCCTGCGCCCAAACCTGGGTCAACGAGAAGGATCCTGCAGGATCCTGCACACCAGCCCGGGTCAATGCGACCCTGGCCCTTCAGGATCCTGCACGATCGGGCGCTGTGGCTGACCCCCGTTTGCATTGACCCCCGTCTCAAGGCTCCCGATCCAGAGCTCCTGACCCCTTCCCGGGGGGCAGGGTTGCGTCCCGGATCCACTCTTGATGGTCACAGGGGCCCGAGAACGGCCCTCGGGGCCCGAGATCGAGGAACGACGCTGGGATTGAACAAAAATCCGCCGATCCTGCCGGCTGCTGGGGCCTGTGAAAAAGTTGTTCCGCCCGAGTCGTCGCCGTCGTTGCCCCTCCAGCGTTCAAGCCAGAGGGAACTCGAGCAACGTGGTAATCGAGTCGAAGGGAAGCCCCTTCCTCTTGATCCCAACCCGGCCTGGGGGGGTGGGGCGGTGGGGGGGTCCCCAGGGGTGTCCTGCGATGTGTCCCGGGGGCGGGGGGCCCATGAGGGGTCAAGGGGGGAAGGGGGGGTGGTCCTGGGAGATGTGCCCACCCCCCTTCTCATCCCTCCGGGGGGAGCACCGCTCCCTGGGAGAAGCTTTGGCTCCAGAGCGTCAGCTTCGTCATCGCCGTCGCCGTCATCGCCGTCGCCGTCGTCGTCGTCGCCGTCGTCGTCGTCGTCGCCGTCGTCGTCGGCGTCGTCGCCGTCGGCGTCGGCGTCGCCGCCGCCGCCGCCGTCGCCGTCGCCGTCCCCCTTCAGGGTCGGCAGCACCAGCTGCCATGCCCTCGCAGCAATACTGCGAGAGATCGGGGCCCGCCATCGCCCCCGACACCTGCATCACGAGGTCGTGGAACTCCCCCTCCCGGGGATCGCTGGCGGCGCGCAGAGAGGGGAGCAGTAGGGGGAAGAGGGAAGGCGTTCTAGGAGGAGGCTGCTTCTTAGAAGGCGCCGGCTCTACGTTTACAGATGAGGCCCGCGGCTTCTGAGAAGCATGGGGTGCTTCTAAGATCTAACAAGCCTTCCACCCTCCCCCTACACCTCCCTCTGCGCGTGGCCGAGATCGGCTTTTCAGCCTAAGTCGTTGTTTGACTGTCCCGAGGCCCAGTGAAGGCCCTGGAGGCCAAAAACTTAAGAAAAATCGTCCGTCGCGATGTCGGCCCGACGCGAAGAGGTCTTGGGTCCCCACCTCTGGAGATCGTTTCTATTTTTCGGCGATAACCCGGGTTATCCGGCGGGGGGAACAGGGGAAATGCACCGGCCGATAACCTCACCTTTTCGCTTTGGTCAGCCCCACGTCGGAGCAATACGCTTAGCCAAAGTGCTTGACCATACATCGCTGGACCCTAACAAGAACAGCCTCCTGGCGCCACCCCCGACGACTGCCTATCCTGCCCTGTCATGTCCCGTCCGTAGTGGAGCAAACATCGGCGTAAACACAAGCTTTCGGAGCTCCGTGAGAATCTCTTGGATCAGCGCATAACTCCCCGCCCGAGGCGCCGCCAGGGGGACCCAGCGCAGCTCCAAGAAGTCTGCGCGGAGCGCCGAAAATTGATGTTCATGCCGCTTGCTGTTCTTCGAAGCCTCTCACGGCGCCGCCCCCGACGCCTGCGCCACGAGGTCGCGGAACTCGGCGCCGCCGCCGGCCCGCTGGGAGCCCTGGCCCCCGGCCCTGGCGGGCCCTCCGCCGAGACCCTCCGCCGCCAGGCGGCGCTGCAGGTGCAGCACCTCAGCCCGCAGCTGCCGGACCTCGAACTCGCCGGCGCGGGCCGCCCTGGCAGGATCGCTCGAAGCCCGAGCCCGAGAAGCCCGAGAAGCCCGAGCTGGAAGCCCGAGCCCGAGCCCGAAAAGCCCGAGCCCGAGAAACCCGAGCTGGAAGCCCGAGACCGAGCCCGAAGCCGAAGCCGGAGCCCGAGCCCGAGCCCGAAGACGAAGCCCGAGCAGGCAGCACAGAGTCGAGAGGTCGGAGCGGATCGGAGCCTCGCGTCGTGGAGGCATCACGGATGGAAGGTATTTTGCTGAAACTTTTTCAGCCTCCGGGGGCACGCCGCGGGGCCCCGGGACCGACGACGACGACGCCCGCGACGACGACGACGACGACGACGACGACGACGACGACGACGACGACGACGACGACGACGGCGGCGGCGAAGGCGAAGGCGAGGGCGACGGCAACGGCAGGGGTCGATGCCTCTGGGGGTCGACGTCATGAGAAATCATGGCGCCGGGGGTCTGGCAGGCATCGGGCCGCATCGGGCCGTATGAGCGTCGTGGCATCGGTTCGGGGCAGGCCAGCCAGGCTTGAGATCGGATCGAATCGGATCGGAGCGAATCCCATCGATGTCTCATGGATGCCGCATCGAATCGAGATGGGCCCTGCCTGGTCAGTTCAGCCCCCGCGCGGTCGACGCGCTGCTCGACGAGCTGCAGGCGCTCCTGGAGCTTCGCACCCTCCGCGCAGCAGGGCAGCCGGTCGAAGATGGCGGCGGCGCCACCGCGGCGCCGCCGGGCCTCGCCCAGCGCGCAGGGCGCGGTCAGCAGCGCCTCCTTCTCCTGAAGAGGCGTGCACAGAAGACTACGATTTTCCTCCTCCTCCTCTTCCTCCTCCGCCTCCTCCTCCTCCTACTCCTACTACTCCTCCGCCTCCTCCTCCTCCTCCTCCTCCGCCCTCCTCCTCCGCCCTCCCCCTCCTTCTCCCTCCTCCCTCCCTCCTCCTTCCCTCCTCCCTCCCTCCTCCGTTCTCCTCCGTTCGGCGGAGACGTGTAGAGACGACTACACGGATCAGTGAAGATTCGCCCGTCTTCTAGACCCATCCAAACCGCCAGAAGAGCAAGGACTCGTACGCGACGCCAGAACGGAGGTGTTCGAGGACGGTCTCGGCGCCCAGCTTGGACGAGAGGAACTGGTCAGCCATGGGCGCATAGAACTCGCCGGCCCAACGGGCCAGACGCGTGCTACGATCTCCGGTAACTGGTTAACAACATTCGCGCGCTGGGCGGCCCCTGGGGGTCCCCGGACGAAAATACCCCGGCAAGGTCCCGACAAGGCCCCGGCAAGGTCCCGGGCGGTCCGACTCCGAGATGGTTTTCCTCCTGGGCGCGGCCTCTCAGGCCCCCAGAACGCGCCAAGAGGGCCCCAAGAGGCCCCCGAGACTGTTCAAGAGGCCCCCGAGACGCCCAAAGAGCGCTCCAAGACGCCGAAGATGACCCCAAGACGGCCCAGGAGGCCTCCAAATGGTCTCCAAGAGGCCTCACAAATGGGCCCCGAGAGGCCAAAATCCTAAATTTCACGATGGTTTTGGAAGGATGTTGGCCTTGTCGTGTCTGCTTTCCGATGCTCCAAAGCGGCCCAAGAGGCCCCCAAGAGCGCCCCAAGACGGGCCAAGAGGCTTCCAACAGGGCCCCAAGAGGACCCAAGAGGGCCCCGAGACGGTCCAAGAGGCGCTCGAGACGGCCCAAGAGAGCCCCAAGACGGCCCCAAGAGAGGCCCAAGAGGGGGACCACGAACCGAAAACTCCAGCCTTCCACCCCAAGAGGGCCCCAGGAGGCCCCGAGAGGCCCCCGAGAGGTTTTTTTTTTGACACCCCTCCCCCCAATACAGTTGTCCTGCGGGCAGCAGCAGCAGTGCGAAGCACCTCGACTCAGCCCAGTCCGCACTGGTACCAGTGCCCCCAGACGTGGGCCCCACTCAAGGTCGCATTCCACCGCCTCGCCGTAGTCCACCACCCCGCCCTCGCTGTACTGGTTCCAGTACAGCTGGAAGTGGACGTCCCGTTTGCGGATGTTCACCCCTCAGCAGCCTGTCACGCCGCTTCCGCTTGGTGTCGGCACCCGAACACACCCCTCGCTTTTTGGCAGCGGACACGCCTTGTTCATCCCGTCCCTCCGCTGCACTGCATGCGCCCCGCATTCTCGGCAGACGACATAGGGCCCGCATATCTGCACCACATGCTGCCTCCGCGTGTCGGGCACGTCAGGTGGTGCCTCTGCAAGCCTCGGCTGCCTCCTCGGGGACCGCGATCTCGCCACTGATGCACCACTCACCTGGCTCACCAGGCTCTGCTTCATCAGCTGCACCTCGCTCTCCTGCAGCCAAACCCGCCACGGCAGCCCCCACGGCGACGGCAGCCGCCACAGGCCCAACTCCCGTGTCCCCCGTAGCCGTCGACGCAGCCGCACGCTGCTGCACTCCTCGTGCAGCTGCGACGCGAGCTTCGAGCGAGCCCGCGCCAGCTGCCCCGTTCACTACGTCTACCATGCGCCACGGAGGTGGGCGGCATTCCGCCTCCCACAACTTCTTCCCCATGCGTGCCGCGGCCGCGCGCCCCCCACACCGAGTACACACTTGCCACCGCCCACGCTGCTCCACCTCGCGCCTCGTCAGCTGGATGTGGGGCTGCTGCTGCCGCCCGCGCCTAGGCCCAGGCGGCCGCGGGGGGGGGGGGCGTCAGGCCACTCTCCGTTCAGCTGCTGGTGCCACCACCCGACGCTCTGGATGGCCCACTTGGCCTTCTCCCCGAGCCTATCAAGCACCTCCTGCCTGCCGCAACCGCAATCGTCCTCGGCTCCGCACTTCGCCAAGAGGTCAACGGCCGCGTTACCCCTGGCGATGGCCTGCTGGCCCTCCTCGAGCCTGTTGATCGCGGCCTTGGAACGACGCGCCTCGACGTGCCCCACGCAGCCGCGGCCCAAACCAATGTCGGCCACCATGTGCCAGATCCTCCGCCACAAGTCCGCACGCGGCCGCTTCCAGGAGAGGCACCAATTAGCACCTCGAGCCAGACCGTCGACGATCCCCTGGTGATCGGTGTAGATCCTGCATGGTGGCATCACCACCTCCAACACCTTGAGGAAGGCCCACATCTCCGCACGCTTCACCGTCGTCTGCACACTGCACTGGCACGGCAGCGGGCCCCAGAGCTGGATAGTTGGCGCACCTTCACCGTTGATCGCCATAGCTGCCCACCCAGCCTGCGCCCACTTGCTGCCGCCCATCTTCGACCCGTCGCAAACGATGTCACCCGTGAGGTGAGCCTCGGGGCCCTCGTTCACCACGAAGTGGTACTGCTCCTCCGTAACGGTGCGAAACTGCCAGTCCACCGACGGATCTCTCACCAGCCCCCTCGCCCACAACAAGCTGTGGACCTGCTGCTCCACCGCGCGCTGCCAGTCCGCCTGCCCCTTGTTCCGCACGGCGCGAAGCTCCGGGCAGACGAAATACCTGCGGCGCGGCGTGCCCGCGCCCTCGCCACACGCCAAGCAGATGCCCGTCGGCGCGATGTTGCGCTTGCAAAGCTTACCCATGGTCCAGGAGCCGCTTATGAGCACCTCCCTCGCTGCGTTAACCGCATGCTTCGGGAAGTTCCTGACCCCCAACACCGCCCTTGCGGGCTGCAAGAAAGGTGCTGGCGCCAAACTCTCGTGCCCAGGCTCTGCTGTCCACTGCGCCCACAGCTGCGCCTCCAGATCTTGCTGCAATAACATCCCGACGTCGTTGGGGCAGGTCTCCATTCGGTTGAGCTGTTCCCCATTGCGCATCAGGAAAACGTGCCACTTCGGCCACGTCCAGCCAGCTCTGCGCATGGACATGACGACAGCACCTGCGGGGCCTTTGACACGCCCCCACTGCGGCTGCATGCCCGCTGCGATTTGCTGCTGCTTCCACGCCCTCTGGAGTTGCTCCTGCAGGTCGTCACGCTCGCTGAGGTCCCGCCGTCGTCCGCTGACGCGCTCCTCCGAGATGGCCAAGTGCCGTCCCGCCTGCACGAAAAGATCCAGCAACTCGCCGAGGCTGCCGATGTTGTGGTACCCGATGCCCGCTTCCAGCTGCCTTTCTCCATCGTCAGGAACCCGTCGCAGCCTGTCACCGAGCAGCCGTCGCAGCACCTGCTGCACCGCGCCACGCTCGTACCTGCATGGGTTCAGCACCTCCACTCGGTCCACGTAATCCAGGTCATTGATGTACATGATCGCCGCCGCTCGCCTCCGTCGCGCCCGCGCCCACGATCGTCTGCAAGTAGCGACGATATTTGCCTGCGTGGCCCCCTCGCACCTCACCCCGACAAGCACGGTCGCCCACTCAAGCCAGTCGTCGACGTCTTGGTAGCCCACCGCTCGAAGGTCGGTGATCCACAGCGCCGCCCAGACACCTAGTGCTTCATCAAAAGCAACGACATCACCTACAGCACCTCCCCCTGCGAGCAAGGTGCCATTGGTGTGGGGTGAGTGAGGGTCTGCGCACCAGCCTCTGGCCCTGTGCATTGCCGATCAGGACGTTCATGTTGCCCCTGTCGGGCCCCCCACTGCGCTGCTCTCGCCGCTTCTTCTCCCACCGCGAGCTCCCGCACAGCGCGTGACCAGCGAACCACGGGAGCGGCCGAGATCTCGCACGTGGGCTCCTCCTTCGCGAGAGCCAGCTGCAAAGTGAGGCTCTTCGCCCCCCTGGACCCTGGGAGAAGCTTGCCTGCGGCGCGCCGAACTTGCTGAAGCTGGCGATCTGGCATGCCCAAGCACTTGCACCCATACAACACCGACCACGCATATACACCAATCCCATGCCTTTTGCCATTCCTTTACCTCCTCGGCGTAGCTGAAGTAACCTGGCCGTCCGCCTCCGCATCTTGGCGAAGCGCTTACCGCTCTTTGCCTTGAGCGCCGTGCCACTGGAAACCATGTCGACCCCCAGGTATGGGCAGGCTCGGACAACTGGCAATCCCCTCTGGCTCATATCGCCCTGCACGGCGCCCCATGACCGCGCCCTTGCCCTTTGCACCCACGGAGAACTCCAGGCCCAGCTCAGCAAAACTCGCAAAGCTGTCGTCGATCGCCAGCGGGAAAACATCGGCCACCCACTGCTGCGCACCTCTCTGCCTGATGCTGAGGTCATCGGCGCACATGCGCCACGTTGCCAGCGGATGCTCAACCACCAAACCGTCGACCGTATCCTGAATCACCATTTTAAGGAAACGGGCGAGGCCTAACCGCCAATCGCAAGCTCGATGAGATCGCGCCCTTAACGCTGCTCCGTCATGGGGCTCCCTTTCGCGAGAGCCGAAACTGAGTGGTGATATGTAGTACAAATGGCTTCTCGGCGAAAGTGCACGGGGCCTAGAAGTTGTAGAAACGGGCCCGAATGTCTGGAGCAAGGGGTTGCCGTGGAAGTCCCGAGAACTGTCTCGCCTGACCGACGGGGCGATGCTCTGGGCCCGAGCGCCTGCGCCATGCCGCTACACGGGACTGAATGCGGGCGCGAATCGTTGACTGGAGTGGCGATCTCTCCTAGCAGGAGCTTCGAGGGGGCGAACTGGCCCGAGGCAGTAATGGTAAGTCCTTGAGGCAATATGGCTACGGAGAGGTGGTCCAGCCAATATTGCAGAGATGTCCAAGCAGTGTAATAGCAAGGGTCATGCGGATGGACCGGTACGCCCAAAATGAGACTTCGAAGGGCCCTGGTGGTGAAGGTGGACGGGTGGCAGGGTAGGGAGAGAGCACAAACGGGTGTGGACCATGAGGGGGGGATTGGGCGGGTAGCCTGGTTGCAAGGGCAGGAGGGACAGTGGCAAGAGGGATGGGAGATGTAGGCTACCAGCGTTGGGGGGAGAGCGCAAGCAGAGATATAGCAGGGGACAGAGCCAGAGAGCAAGGACGGCTGCGGACCAGGAGGGGAGGATTGGGCGGTAGCATGGTAGTTAGCAAGGCAGGAGGAATTGTGGCAAGAGGGTTGGGAGATGGAGGCAACCAGCGTTCCAGGGGGGGGGGGGGGGGGGGCGCATGCAGTCCGTGTTATGTTGACGGTCTTTATACTGCTTGACTGCTTCGCATTTACACAACTTTTTGCTTCGCATTTTCACACAGGTGATGATCGTGTCTTCTTTTATGCTCGAGGCTTGTCGGCCCGTGCGCGCACGCCGCCTGGCCCCCCATACAGTTCTGGCACGAGGGATCCCTGGGCAGCGTAGGTTACAATCTGTCTTCACGTGGAAAAGTAGCAAAAGCGCAAGGGCGGATGTAGGCCGTGTGTGGAGGATTGGGCGGGTAGTACGGGCAGGAGGGATATGGTGCACACCGCTCTGTATACGCGCCCAATGGTTGGAGGCAAACGAGAGACGACCGAGACACGACAGGGAAACGCCGCGAAGCCAGCGTTACGGGCGACCCCTCTCAATCACCTCCCGTGGGGGCGTCCGAAAAATTGGGCAGTACAAGGCCGTGGGGGTTCTCTGCCGACCTGGGCGAGTCGAGGGCCCCGGGGTATAGGGGGGGGAGGTTGGGGACCAAGGGCACCCAAGGCAGGAGGGCCATAAAAAGCGGGAGGAATAGCGGATGGAGCCGCTGAAAGAGGCTGGGATGCCCGCGCCCTGGTCTTCCCAACCGGTGGCACGGGTAGCGGGATGAGCTGGGAAGAGCAAGAAAAGCAGGGTACCATAAATGCCGAGAAAGACAGGGTATCAGCAATGAAGGCAAGATGCAAGAAGGATTACTGGTATCGCCCCAGCTCCCTAACCTCAGGGGTGCTTGTGAGGGTGCTCGTCGGGAGTGCAAGATGTGCACTCCCTTACCAGCGCCCCGTGCGTCCCTCACAAGAGTCGAACCCACAGGCTGCGGGAAGCCATCGGCACGGGGAGAAGGAGAAGGAGGAGGAGGAGGAGGAGGAGGAGGAGGAGGAGGAGGGGGGGGAGGGAGGAGGAGGAGGAGGAGGAGGAGGATGAGGCGGAGGAGGACGAGGAGGAGGAGGAGGAGGAGGAGTGGATGATGAAGATGATGAGGATGATGACGATGACGATGATGACGATGATGACGATGATGACGATGATGATGATGATGATGATGATGATGATGATGATGATGATGATGATGATGATGATGATGATGATGATGATGATGATGATGATGATGATGATGATGATGATGATGATGATGATGATGATGATGATGATGTCCTGCACGTGGCAGGTCGACCAGCGGTGGAGAGCAGCGCGAGGCCGAAGGCGCTGGAGAGAAGCGCAAAGCGAGGTGGCATCAGTAGCAGGCACGGGGGTGGCTGCCACCATACATGCATGCGACTGCGCCACAGCTATGCCCTTGCACAGTCTGGATCATCCAGACTCTGGGCAGAGCCGGTCCCGCACATTCGCACTTTACAGCTCGGAGTGCCGCCTACCTTTGCACTCTGTGCCGCGCCTGCCTGTCCTCGCGCCGTCGCGCCGCCGCCCAGGAGGACAGCTCTTCGACAAAGGCCGCGAAGCGTGGTCATCTTCGCGCACGCGCTGGTGACGAACAGGCCGTTCCTGCGGTTGCGCTGGAACGATACCCGTTTCAACGTCTGCGCGCGCAAGCGAATGGTCAGTGACGGCAACAGCACTGGTAGCATCGCCAGACTACAAAACAATGGATTCTGCCGGCCACGGATGCGTCAAGCACTCCGCAGCCGATCGTCGCCGTGCGGGGTCAAGGCAGAGCATCTGTTCCAGCAAGCTTATCGCCAACGCGAAGGGCTCCATGCCCCAGCTGCGAATGGCTTCGGCTATGCCACTTTCGCCTTGCGCATGGATCCACACAAAATAGGGGTCTGCAAAAGTGGCCTGCTTAAAGAGCAGGCATCGGTAACACATGCTAAAAACACAAACGCCCACAGCAAAGACATCGGCAGGCTGGACGGCATATCCCCAAACCTCACATGTGCAGGTTTCTCCAAGGTAAACAGTGTCCGGGAGCCGAACCTCCACCATTAAGTCGCCAGGGAGCCTGACCATGCCCACGTCGCCTGGTAGAGCCTTGGCTGGACACAGAACGTTGACCACCTCTTCCACGTCTGGGACGTAACACTCTGGAGCCCTGTAGCACTCCTTGCCCACTCGGCGGAAGTAGCGAAACGGCACGCCAGAGAAAGAGTGGCTGCGCACTGACACACCAAAGTCGATTATCTGCAGCACTCCTGCCTTTGTCAGGACGGCGTTCTCGAGAGAGACATCTCGGTGGCCTATGTGGTGTTTGTGCAAGTACGCGACAGCGTCCAGCATCTCTCTCGTATACCTCCCCGCTTGTCTCTCCCCGTGGACGCGGCCTGAAGAGATTGCGTGGAAAAGCTCGCCACCTTCGGCAAGCTCCATGACTACCCATACGCAGGTGGTATCGGAGAACACTCCCAGCATCCTAACTAAGTTACTCGAGAAGTCGGACTGCCTACTGAGGTATGATGATGATGATGATGAGGAGGAGGAGGAGCAGGAGGAGGAGGAGAAGGAGGAGGAGGAGCAGGAGGAGGAGGACGAGGAGGAGGCGGAGGAGGACGAGGGGGAGAAGCACGAGGAGGAGGAAAAAGGAGGAGGAGGAGGCGGAGGAGGAGGAGGAGAAGGAAAGGAGGGAGACGAGGGGGAGGAGGAGAAGAGGGAGGGGAGGAGGAGGAGGACGAGGAGAAGAAGGAGGAGGAGGAGGAGAGGAGGAGAAGGGGGGGGAGGGGGAGGGGAGGAGGAGGAGGAGGAGGAGAGGAGGAGGAGGAGGAGGAGGAGGAGGAGGAGGAGGAGGAGGAGGAGGAGGAGGAGGAGGAGGATGAGGAGGAGGAGGAGCAGGAAGAGGAGGAGGAGGAGGAAGAAGAAGAAAAGGAGGCGGAAGGGGAGAGCAGAAGGAAAAGGGAGGAAGCGAAGGAGAGAAGCTGAGGTGGAGGGAAGCCAGCCCCCTCCTCCGTAGCCCCCTCCTGCCCCCCCGCCCACTGCGTCCTTTTCTGCAGCGGACGGCTCCGAGGCCAGCCCGCCGGCCGCCGGCTGCACGGGTTGCTGCCAATCCGACCTGCTCGGGAGTCCCCTCACGTCCGTCCGTCCTTTTCGCCCCCAATTCTCCCTCTTCTCCCCCTCCCTCTTCTCCCCCTGCCTCTTCTGCCCCTCCCTTGTTCAAAGACGCGCGGCCGACGGAGGACGCTCGGCCGCCACAGGCGGCAGCGGGCCCATCCTTCAATTCGGAATCCGCGACTGAGCGCACGACGAGGGCCTCCAGTGGCCACGCCCCATTGTTGGTCAGTGTCAGGCGTATTCGCGTGTTTGAGGTGTAGGAAAGGATGGTGCGTGATTGCCTTGTATGGCCCGATCAGGGCGCGCGAGCCCCCTGCTTCGGGGGCATAGGTGGGTGCGTCCCAACAAACGCCGCTCCGCCCCCCGCCCTTGCGGCCCTCGCGCTCCTCGGCCTGCGCTTGCAACGTGCCCGTATGACCAGGTTAGCCGATGACCGGGTCATGCTTGTTGGATGGAAGCCTTGCATTTTGCCGAACATGTATGTTTCTGTCTCGCGTTTAGCGGCCATTCGCGGTGAACAGGGGCTGATTGCTGGGCGGTTTGCGCGGGGCGTTGGCCGCTGTTGGCCGCTTATCGGTTGCCACTATTTGCCACTACTCCCCCTCCCTCTTCTCCCTCATCCCCCATCCCCCATCCCCCTCCCTCCCCCTCCCCCCCCCAACCACCCCCTCCCACCTCTCCCACTCCTCCCCCTTCTCCCCCTCTTGCTCCTCGCCCCCCTCCTCCCCCCTCCCTCCTCCCTCTCCCCATCCCCCCCCTCCCCCTTCTGCCCCCCTTCCCCCCCCCCTCCCCCCCAGTTGAGATTTTTATGTCTAGGACCTGTTAGGCATGTTGTCTCATAAGCCAGACACAGCACCGTACTGTAATGTACTGGCTCAAGTCAAAGCAGTAAAAGATTATCATCTTTATTGCCATTAGTTCATACAGTTTTCGCTTAACGAACTTAGCATTTCCAGTTCAGGATTTTCATCAGAATCTGGAGTTTGGTAGCGGAGCCAGTCGGTTCCCTGCCTTCTGGCTTTCTCTCTGCCGCAGGACCCTCGTTTACGGCATCATCAACACCTACGAGATTTACATCACCTGGTGTTCAGATATTGGAGTTTATTTCAGTATATCAAGATATACATTACCAGACACAGAAGTTGGATCAGATACAGTCTATGTTACTTGAAGTTCGGTTGGAAAGATGTTGGCATCACCACAGACTACCCCACTCTCTCTCAAGCAGTATTCTAAGGATATACCGCCAGGCTGGCGACCACGAGCATATCCAATCCGTGAGTATCGTGAAGCATTGGAGATATGGAGTCGTCTCACGCGTTTGGAGCAAGACCAACTTGGTGCAGCAGTTATGAGCAGACTCGAAGGCCCGGCACTACGAGCAGCTCAAGATTTGCGTGTGAATCGACTTGATCAAGCAGGCAACGTTGTGAATTATCGCGGCATCGAGGCGGTCAGTTTACCGAGAGTTCCAGCAGTATTGGACGGACAAGGCAACGAACTCGCTCCCCTACAGCACAGTGGAATCAAGATTCTGAACGACAGATGATTCGAGATGTACGGATTGGACGATCAAGACTTGGCCTGGACCTCGCTGGATCGATTCTTCACCTTGCGTCAAGGCCCTAATCAAGACTTCATCTCATACCTGTTTGAATGGGATCACTTATATGAAGAAACTGAGCGATACGGAGGCTTACAGATGGGCGAATCAGCCAAGGCTTGGCTTTTCTGGTCACGGACTACGTTTGCTGACAAAGCGCTCGCAGATCTACGCTTGAAGGTCAATGGTGATCTCAACAGGTGGCGCGAGATGGTTCAGTTGCAGCTAAAAGTGAGCAAGAACGAGATGGCGGCCAATGAGCAGCACGTCGGATACAAGAACTACTGGGAAGATTCAGACCCTTGGATGAGAGAGTACGAATATGATTATGACAACTACTACGAGGATGATGATGAGTACTACGACGAGTGGTACGATGAGGAGTACGATGATGATGATGACTGGTATGACGACAATGGAGATCAAGATGGATACGGAGGCGCAGCAGCAGCAGGCGGCACGTCATCATCACCTCTTCCAACCACATCGTCACCGGACGAGGACTACTGGCAGAACGCACGCGGAAAAGGATCTCACGGCAAAGGTAAAAGGCAAGGACGACAAAACCGGCGGCGGCAAGAACGGCAAGAAAGGAGGCAAGAAACGACAAGGAGATCAGTGTACCCTATGTGGCTCACGATGGCACAATTCGGACACCTGCCCTCTCAAGGATGATCAGAAAGAGGACAACGCGTATCAGACCGACGAGCAGTACGATGAGGAGTATTACGGACAAGGACGCGGCTATCGCAAAGGAAATCGCAAGGGCAAAAGGCGTGGCAACGGCAAAGGATATGATCGAGATCGGCACCGAGGTTATCAAGACAATCGAGGATCTCACGACCAGCAGCGACGCGATGTTCCACGTTTCGGCAGAAGCGACTTTCAGCAGCGACAGCAAAAAGGCAAAGGGCGTGGCAAGAAAGGTTACAGATCGAAAGGAAAAGGCTACGACCAACGACGCCAGTTCTATCAAGACACTGATCGCGGAGATGAGGCATACGGAAGCTACGCGACCTTGCCGGCCATTCATGAACATGAAGAACCAGACGAACAGGCAGCAGCAGCAGATGATGTATCCACGTATGAGCAGGACAGGAGCATCATGACACGGACCCCCTTATCTGCAGGAGCGTGCGAGTTCGTACCTACCTCGACGGCGGCAGAGAAGACACCGACACGGAAAGGATCAGCATACGACGACATATTCGGCACCGGAGAGAGAGCCACAGTTGGACAGGGACAACCACGGCACCCACCTGGGTTAGGCCCTACAGCTACGGCAACTGGAGCGGCGAGCTCAAGCTTTTCGGCATCATCAAGCTCAGTTTCAGTTTCTGCGTCTACTCATACCTGCTACAGGTGTTTCTCAGCGGCGATTGCGAAGTGCGGTACGTGTTCCCGTTCGTTTTGCATATGTCACGGATTCAAAGGACACTTGATGGTGATGTGCTCTTCTTGTTTGGATGTTTCAGCAGCCCGGCAGCAACAACAGCATCAATCACAGCAAGACGCGCAGTCACCTGGGACCGCTTCTCAGCAGCAGACCACACCGAGCTCTGATGACACGGCAGCAAGTTGGATGTTGATACCGCGACCGGACGAATCGCAGATTCAGGACGAGCCGGAGGAGTTTGCAGCATTACCAGCTTCGGGCAACCCGTTCAAGAACTTGGCGGTCATCAACGGAGTCAGCGTCATAGGCCTCATTGTGGACCCTGGAGCGGCTCGAGGTCTTATCGGAAGTGCTACCCTTCGAGAGATCTTCGACAAGCTACTGCGACCTCGCGGCCTGATGAAGCACGTGATGTGGTATCGTTCAAAGAACAAGTTCACTGGCATCTCATCTCAGCCCCTGCACAGCATCGGTATATGTGTATTTCCGATTGGCCTGGTTGGAATGAAGCATGCTTACTTCTCTTGCGATGTCATCACAGGTCAGTCAGCGAACTGCCCTGGACTCATTCCACTACAGACTCTGCTACGACTCGGCAGTATCATATCGTGTGGACACTTTCAGAATCAAGATGGACTTCTGGGACTGAGACTCGGCAATGGCGAGATGTGCTCACAGAGGGTTCTCTTGACAGACTCATCGCACTACCTACTTCCGATCGACAACTTCGACAAAGAAAAGAACGACGTGTGGAACAAGACGGTGCTTCAGCATCAGCAGGAAGTGGACGACGGAGCACATCAGCAAGGACAGCATCATCACGGCGTCACCCTCATATCCATGATCGACGGCGACGATCGAGCACCACATGAGGATCACGGGACTCATTTTCACTGAGTCCTGGGCACGACGCTAAACTGTTCACTCCAGATACTCTTACCTCATTCTCATCTACAACGCGGAAATACTATCGAGATTGGCAAGCTCTTTCTTCAAAGGAATCCTTCTCACTGTGGAATGGCGAACCACTCTTTCCTTCACACCTACTTCCAGAGGAGTTGGCAGTTGCGAGGACCGAATTCAATTCGATTCCAGAGATGTTCTACACGACCTACACCTGGCTACCGGTCATCACGCCCGAGAACTACGACGCTTTCGAGGCAGCAATGGCCAAAGGACCTTATTGCGGATATCCGATTCTATGGAGTTGGTGTTCAGGTTCATCCCATCTATCTC